CTTTTCTGTATTAGGAACGATTTATATATATCATTATAGTACCGTGATATGAGCTTGAATCTCCTGATCACGGTTAGGGTGCGTATATTGCCTTGGATGGATAACAGAACCTAATGACATTCCTTGGTAGGTCTAGGTGTGCATGACTACGCTACGTGTGTTTTGCGAGTTACCTTCTACTTAGGTGTGATGACTATAGGTTAGTGAACGTCCTATAGTGTGTATCTATATCTATATGGACTATTTTAGATATTGTCGAGCTATCTAGGATGTATCTGCGTATCGGGTTTATGTATAGATTGTAGTAGGATGGAACTTGCATGTGGGCCTGACCCACTCTTTTCTTTCAGGTGTTCATCAGTACCAGGCTTAGCGCTTGATCGTGATGATGCAGATACAGACACTCACTCTTTTGACTACATAGGATTTTCTTTCTTATTTTAGTTTTGGATTTTGATTCTGTAAATTTATTTATCGTTTGGGATTATTTGGGGTCCACTGAATGGATTCCCGAGTTGTACGGATTGGAAAGATTAAATTATATTAATTTATTATTTTTGGAGGATTTTTATATTTAGAATTCTGTTCAGCTTATTATTTTATTTTTAATTCTTTTGTACTCTTGCTTGTTTACATATTAATTGTTTGATATCCCTCGGATCTGTGCTCGGACTTGATCACCCGTGGCTCTAGAATCGAGGGGTATCACAGAACCCAACTGGATGGAACGATCATCCAACTTGACTCTCCTCCCCGAGAGGAGAGTGCAGTCAATGAAGGTGAGCGGAACGCCGAGCATGAACAAGAGACCGAGGGTGTGAACAGGACTGAATAGTCATCTGCAAATGTATCATATTCTTTTGTATATTCTACTCATTCCACCAGAACTATCTTTGTAAATGTTTAATGGATATGAATTTAATGGAATGGAAGATTTTAACTAATTCACTTCTCATAGTGCTTTCTTCATCGTTGCTTCTAAGTTATCATTTATCATTTATCTCAAGTGTTTGGCATTCGGATAAAGTGCCTAGTGCTCGGCTGAATGCCACTTGCCCCTATTTTTAACAGGTGTTTGACGTTCGGCTTATAGTGTCAGCTGCCACTTACTTTGCTAAGTGCCTGGCGCTCGGCTGAATGCCACTTGCCACTTGACTTTTTATTTTTAGCAAGTGTTTGGCGTTCGGCTCATAGTGCCAGCTGCCACTTACTTTTCTAAGTGCCTGGCGCTTGACTGAATGCCACTTGCCACTTGAATTTTTATTTTTAGCAAGTGTTTGGCGTTCAGCTCATAGTGCCAGCTGCCACTTACTTTGCTAAGTGCCTGACGCTCGGCTGAATGCTACTTGCCACATGACTTTTTATTTTTAGCAAGTGTTTGGCGTTCGGTTCATAGTGCCAGCTGCCACTTACTTTGCTAAGTGCATGGCGCTCGGCTGAATGCCACTTGCCACTTGGCTTTTTATTTTTAGCAAGTGTTTGACGTTCGGCTCATAGTGCCAGCTGCCACTTACTTTGCTAAGTGCCTGACGCTTGGCTGAATGCCACTTGCCACTTGGCTTTTTATTTTTAGCAAGTGTTTGACGTGGCTCATAGTGTCAAGTAGCACTTATTTCACGCTCGGTCACCTTTTTGGAAGAAAATAACACTTTTTATAGATTTTTTGAAGTTTTATACATTTGTAAGCACACAATTGGAAATAAACACTGACCAGGTTGAAACTCACTCCTCGCTTCTCTACTGGTGATACCTTTTCATAGACGTAGCGTTTTATGACTTGTTTACCAGCCTTCTAGCCATGGTCTCCAAGATATATGCCCCCTTCCCTATGACTTCTGCAACTCTATACGGCCCTTCCCAAGGTAACACCATCTTCTTGACAATTCCAACCTTTCTTTTTAGAACTAAATCACCAGGTGCAAAGTCTATATGCCTCACCTTTCTGTTATGACTGTTCATAAGTGTCTACTGATATGATGCCAGTCTTACTGCATCCTTCTTCTCTTCAAGCAGATTGAGGTTGAATTTCAACATGTGATTATTCTGCTCCCGATTGCATGCTAGACTTCGAATGGTGGGAATTAGGTGCTCGACCGGTAATACTGCCTCAGTCCTATATGCCATGGCGAATGGGCTCTCTCCGGTCGGTCGTCTCGGAGTCATTCTGTAGGCCCATAAGACGTTCAGGAGCTCATCCAACCATTTCCCTTTTTCTTCTTCAAGCTTCTTCTTTATACAAACAAAAATCGTTCTGTTCGTGATCTCAGCCTAACTATTTGCCTGTGGATAACTGACCGATGCTAACTTTTGGTTGATTTCATATTCTTCCAACAACTCCCTCACTTGCTTACTGTCGAGATTAGTCCTGTTGTCCATGATGATCGACCTTGGTATGCCAAAGTGACAGATGATATTACTCCAAATGAAACGTCTTACATGAGTTTGAGTTATGCTGGGATATGGTTCTGCCTCCACCCATTTGGTAAAGTAGTCTGTTACAAGCACAATGAACTTATTTTGTGATCTGGCAGTCGGTAAGGGGCCAACCACATCCATCCCCCATTGTGCGAAAGGCCATGGTTTGGCCATTACGTGCAAGTCTTCTGGTGGTTGGTGGATCAGTGGTCCTAACCTTTGGCACTTATCGCACCTTTTTGAGAATTCCTTCGCATCTCGTGACATGTTCGGCCAAAAATACGTCTGTGTTATCACTTTGTGTGCTAAAGACCTCCCACCTAAATGGTTACCATACATACCATCGTGGATAGTTTGCAGTATTTGCTGAGCTTCTGTAGGGGTTACACATTTCAAATAAGGCCCTAAGTAAGATCTCCTGTATAACTGGTTGTGCATTATGGCATACTTCGCAGCATTTGACCTGATCTTTCTTGCCTCATCCCTCTGCTCGGGCAAAACACCATCCCGTATGTATGTCATAATTGGATCTATCCAACTCAGCTCATATGGTATGACATTCACTTGCCAAGGGTCCGAATTTGATGACTCCCCAAGGATAGATGGTTGGTACAACACACCGACTGGAATCACCCTTGTCAGTGTTTCCCTAGAACTCGACGCACTGCATGCCAACCGATCGGCGTCCTCGTTATGCTCCCTTAGCAATTGGATGAACTTGATCTGATCAAAACTCTCAGCCTCCTGCATAATGGCTGAACGATACGCCTCCATTGTTTTATCTTTGGTTTCATATTCTCCAGTTATTTGCCGAACTACTAGCTGCGAATCACTAAAAGCGACTAGGTTTTTGACCTTTAACTCCTTGGCCAACTTCAATCCAGTCAGTAGTGCTTCATATTATGCTTCATTATTGGTTGCTATGAACTCAAGTTTGATCGCTTGGCTTAGCGTGGTGCCTTCTGGTGTCTGCAACTTGACCCCAATTCCTGCCCCTATCTGATTCGAAGAACCATCAACGAAGAGCTTCCACAAATAGTCTTCAAGATTTTCCTCTGGCTCTTCCACATCACACTCCAATAGGAAATCAGCCACAGCATGCTCTTTGATGGCTGTTCAGGGTTCATACGTTATGTTAAAAGAACTTAGTTCTATTGCCCATTTTGTCATTCGTCCGAACAAGTCGGGCTTATGTAGGATCACCCTTATGGGAAGCGTGGTCAGAACAACTATTGGGTGGGACTCGAAGTAATGCCTGAGTTTCCTCTTTGCATTTACCAAAGATAATATTACTCGTTCGGCCTTCGAATACATTCTCTCTAGCTCAGTTAGCGTTTTGCTGACATAAAAGACTGGGAACTGCTTACCTTTTTCACACCATATCAGAACACCATAAGTTGCAATGTTGGAAACTCCAAGGTACAGGAAAAGTTTCTTACCTGCTTTTGGGGCATTTAGGACTGGTGGATTTCGCATATACTCCTTCAACTTTGTCAGTGTTTGCCTTTGCTCATCCCCCCAGGATTATTTTTTGTGACTTCTTATTATATCAAAGAATGACTTGCATCGGTCTGACAACTTAGAGATGAATCGACTTAGTGCCGCTATGCGTCCAGTGAGGGCTTGGACTTCCTTGACAGTGCTTGGTTCTGCATTTCTTAGTAAAGCTTCCGCTTGGGCTGGGCTGACTTCAATCCCTCTGTTGTTGACCACGTGGCCAAAGAATTATCCGGATCCTATGCCAAACGAGCACTTGATTGGGTTTAGCTTCATTCCATACCTCCTCAGTACATCGAACACCTCATCTAAATGTCGCAAATGGTAGTCCTTCTGTTTGCTCTTCACTACCATGTCATCGATGTAAGCTTCAACAGTCTTGCCCATTTGATTATTGAAAATCTTGCTGACCAACCTTTGGTACGTAGCTCCAGCATTCTTCAGTCTAAACGACATGACCTTGTAGCAATAGGTTCCTCGTTCGGTGACAAAAGAGGTTTTTTCCTCATCGTTAGGATCCATTGGAATTTGATTATAACCTGAATAGGCATCCAGGAAGGTTAATCATTTATATCCCTTTATAGCATCCACCATTTGATCAATCTTTGAAAGAGGAAAGCTATCCTTCGGGCAGGCTTTATTCAGATTGGTGAAGTCAACGCAAACCCTCCACTTTTTGTTCTTCTTCTACACTACAACCACGTTCGACAGCCAGATCGGGTACTGAACCTCTCTGATGAACCCAGCCTCTAACAATCTATCAACTTCATCCGCAATGATCTGGTTGCGCTCCGGGGCAACCTTCTTTGCTTTTACCGTACAGGTTTAACGTTCAAATCTATATGAAGGGAATGACAAGAGATAGAGGGGTCGATTCCCGGCATGTCTGAATGGTTTCAAGCGAACATGTCCGTGTTCTGGGAAAGGAAATCAATCAACTGGTGCTTCTCTTCCTCGGTAAGCCTTAAACCTATTTTGTGGTTCGGTTTGGCCTCAAATGATCAATTTGAACATCAACTAGAGGTTCCTCGGTCAACACCGAAGGATCCTCCTCCCCGTCCGTGCTGGGGGGGAGGCTTCTATAATTGCTATTGTGGGCTATCAGATTGGATGGGAGCTTTTCCCTTCCCTGCGACCTTCAGAGTCACCGAGTAACATTCCTTTGCTGCAACCTGGTATACATAGATATCAATCACCTTATTTCCATCCGGACTCAGACATCTCATCACTTGGTGCAGGGTCGATGGGACTCCCTGAACTCTATGAATCCATCCTCTCCCTATCAGCAGATTATAGGATGGATGGATCTCCACCACCACAAAGCTTTCGACAAGTTCCCTCTCAGCAACTTGAACGAGTAATTCTACTGTGCCGATTGGTTCGACTCGCTTTCTATCGAATCCCAACAATGGATTCCCAGTAAATTTAAGCGCCTCTGGCTTGATTTCTAGCCGATTGAAGGTGATCCTTGGCATGACATTCGCATTGCTCCTTGGGTCAATTAGCACCCTTTGTACTAAGCATTCCGCCACTGTCAAACTAACAACCAAAGGGTCCTCATGAAGAATTTGAACTCGCAGTAGGTCTGTCTTGTCAAACCTTATATGCGTTGATGCACTCTGATGGTGCAGAGTGTTGACACTGCCTATTTGTCTCTTCATCTACGCTTGGCAAATGCGTGTTCGGAGCAATTCTTCAGGTTCTATTGTTTGTTCAAGAAGGCCATAAATTGCATTTATAATCCGAATGGGCTGAGTGTTATAGTGATTCAACTTTTGATTTTTCTTAACTTGCTCAGTTAGCCGATTCTGCTCCTGCACTGGCCCTTGAACGTATCCTGCAAACTCTCCCCTGGCGATCAGCATCTCCACTTGCCTTCGTAAGTTCCTGTATTCATTAGTCTGGTGATCAAAATCACTATGAAAAACACAATGTTTAGATTGATCTCTTTATTCGAGAGGTTGTCTGATTGGTAAGGGGGACGGAACTTATATTTGTTTTTTTGGAATAACATTGCCAGAGTGACTTTGAGTGGAGTAAACGACTCTTCCTCTCGGGGCCTCTTCTCTGCCTTCCAGGAGGTCTGACGCTACAGAGCTTGCTTTTGCCGAGTCTTAGCTTTGGACTTCACCTTTGTGGAGATAATAGATGTCTGCCTTGAATTAGCTGCTTTCTCTTCTTCCAGACGCACGAAACTGTCAGCTCTCTCGTTCAGCTCATCCATGGTCTTCGGCGTATTCACCACCAAACTTGTGTGTAACGGTTTCCCTCGGTTCATTGCTAACTTGAACGCTTGAACCGCTATTGATGGATGACACTCCATAACCATACTCTTGACAAGGTTAAACCTGGTGAGAAAAGCCTGGAGTCGTTCATCTTCGTGCTGCTTCATTGTAAATAGGCTTGACATATCTTTGGCCGGGCGTTTATTTCCATAGTATTGGCTAATAAACTTATCACACAAGTCCTAGAAGCTAGCAATTGAACCTTAAACCAGATTCTTGAACCAGTTGAGGGCTGGCCCTGACAAGCTTGTAGGGAAGTATTTACACATCAGAGGGTCATTGTTTGTATTCAAGGCCATTTTCAACTGAATGTGGTAAATATGATCTATCGGATCAGTCATTCCATCGAACAGAATGAACACCGGCATGGAGAACTTCCTCGGATTCAGAGCATTCAGGATTTCGTTAATGAACGGTGATACAACCGTTCTTACGGAGGAACGGAGTGCTTCATTCTCCCTTGAAAACGGCAGTGGAATCCTCAGATCTGCAGATCTTCTTTCTGAACTCTTGTAATCATACGTCGCCATTGAAGGCCGGTAGGGTGGATCAAATGATTTATCATCTGTGAACTCCCTATGCCATAACGATGGAGCTCTATGATGGCCAAACTCCATTGCTTCATCACGTCGTAACCTTCCCTGTGTTGGATCAAAAGCGGCGGCTTCTTCTCGCATGATCTGTTCACAATGCGGATCCAAATGGATAGATCCTTCACGCTCCTCCACTTGACGGATATTTGGAGGTAAGTCATTTGGCACAATCTCCTCGCGATGAAGATCCATTCGATTGTTTCCCTCTGGATCATCGTGATGAGCAGTGCTGGATGGCATAACTCCCTCTCCTACTGGAGGTGGCCTTGGAAGAACAGGAGCCTCACGACGCTCCATTCCAGCTCTCAACTCTGCGTTCTCTCTCCTTAGTGCTTCGATTACTGTAACGACCCAAATCCATTGATCCAGATCATTAAATGGGTCCTTACCCGACCCAAAATTATCCAAGGGTAATATGGTCCTTTCCCGTTAAATTCGTATATTAAAGTCCAACAAGGACAAGATGGTCATTTATCACAATTCTAATGGTTTGAGACTCAAAGGGCAAAATAGTCATTTACTTGTATCACATAATAAATAAGATAAAGTCCGGGTAATATAGTCATTCCCATGGCTAAAATATTATTATTGTATTTTACTGGACCTTATAATGTGTAATAATACACCTGAGTGAGTGGTCAAGGGCAAAATAGGAAAATAAGTCACAAATGTTTACTACACAGGAACCGGTCGATGTATGGGATGTCACACGTCAATTGGTTTGGATGTGTACCGTGGAAAAACCCACTGCCAGGATACCAGTCGACGTATGGAAGGCTACACGTCGACTGGTTCAAGACTTGTACAGTGAATATCCTCACTGCCAAGATATCGGCCGACGTGTGGGAAATTCACGTCGACTGGTTCAGGTCATCCGGTCGACGTATGGGATTTTATGTCGACTGGTTTGGATTATTCACACTCAATTACTCACTGTCCAAAGAAAACCAAAATATACCAACATTTGATAACCAACCACCCACGCTACTACACTTACATACATATTTAAATACATTTTAACATCTAATACATTAACAACAATTAACATAATTTACAATATGCTATATAAAATACACTAAATAATTTAGTGTAATTAAACATAATTACATTTCTCCAATGGCCATACGCAAAATGGACCTAAATACCTCACATGCTACAAAATAATACATTTTAAGTCATCACTTTTACAAAATTAGGCCCAATTACAAAAGATAGCAAAAAGAAACATTTTTCTACTCCAAGCTAAGGCAATGGTGGATTGTCGTCCGCTATTTCTTTTCCGTGTCTGAAAAATAGTAATAAGTAGAGGAGTGAGCGCAAGGCTCAGTAGAGAATGCCTAAGTGGCATCTCCTCAAGTAAGGTAAGTAATTACATGCCTTACAAACAATGAATAGGAAAATGAGTCGGGGATCGTACAAGGGTTCACATGCAACACTTCCAATTTCCATAATCATCGTTTATATTCATATGCAATGAATTGTATAAAATGCTCAATGCACCCATCCACCATATCCATGCCCTCACATGCCCTTCCACTACATCCACACCACCCTCATACCCAAGAACAACATTATGTCATGCATATAAAAATGTCCAAATTCAATTACGTAATTATTATCATGCCTTCATAATATGATTGATATTTCTAGGGCCTCAACAAGATAATTTGACACTTTTTGCATCTTACAACATTCAAGTATTTTCTAGCATATACATTATCAAAAATATCACAACAACCACATGAGGTGAAATAAATAAATCATTTTATAGAAGCTCAACAACATGTTACTTGCAATTTAAACACAAGATAAACACCCAATCACTTTAAACACCTCAAATCAAAAATTCATGTATAAACCAAAAACCCTAAAATTAAATAATGCTTTTAACTTCAAATTGACAAGTTAGAGAGGGGGAAAAACATCCAATTAGCTACCACAACTAAGGAATTTGACAAGTAGACAAACTCTACCTCAAATGGAAGAAAAGCCCCAAATTTTGAAATTCTCCAAACCCTAGCAATATTAGCCTCAATTTGAAGCTCATGCCAAGCTCTCCAACCTCCCTTCTTCCTCTCCTTCAAAATCCACCTTAAACTCTCCAAATCAAAGCCTTTTATTTAGATGATAATAATGTGTGCTTGTGTATGAATATAGAGAGAGATAGAGAAGTGCTAGAGAGAGAGAGAGAGAGAGTGATGCACGAAAATAGGGGAGGAGGAAAGTGATGGCTTGATAAAAATCTCAAATTATGGTCATTGGATTGCCATGTGTCAATTTGTGGTTGATCTCTAATTTTATGCAAAGTTAGAATCTTGCCCTCCTTCAAACCATACCTTGCCTCATTTTCCCCATAAATATCAACCTCTAATATATACATATAGATGTATACATATATGTGAGAAAAGTCCATTATGCACCTTTCTTAAAATGACAAAACCGGGAGAAATTCCCGAGTCCGGAAATCATCTCGACACCTGAAAAATTCTAAAATGATACCGTCACTTCTAATTGACTTAAAATGATTGAAATTACACTTCTAAAACCCTCGACTCAAGAAAATGACCAAAAAGCCCCTTAGGGTCTGCGTGGCATGCAAAACGAGGTAAGGATTAAAATAATCCAAAAAATCAAATATATTCCAGAAACAGAAAATAGGAAAAATCGGTAACATTACAATTACACTCATCAATTCATCGAGCTTCGACTGCTAGCCATTATCTAATGGATTTGAGCTCTCACATCCGATCATTATTCTTGATCGGAGCAAAGTTTTTAACCACAATTTTCTGGACAGATCTGAGTTCTGCTAACGCAATCATACTAGATCTAGACTTGAATTGTCCAAATTCTGATCTTACAAAACCAGATTCGAACTTCTTCCACCGTGGACCTGTCAGATCTGGCTTGGCAAAGAAAACACAATCGCATAGATCGATTGAACAGAAACAAACCGGAACTACGTAGATCGAATACGAATCTCTTCAAAATCAATCACAATCGAAACTCGGCAAGACGAACAATGAACAACGAATCACTCACGATCCTGATCCACTTTTTAGAGATCAAGCTTCTTTCTCACGCATCACTTACGATCGAATCAATTTTGACTTATCGCAAATCAATCTTCGTCGTTCCCACAGACGGCGCCAATTGAAGATACATGAAATTCTCCCTCTTAAATTAGAAAGAATAATTCCACACTTCTAATTTTTTCCATCCCCTTTTCCTTCTGTTTTTAGGCTATTTATAGATTGTTACAGACCTTCTAGATATTTTCTAACTGACTTCTTGAACTGGGTTGTTCTTTTGGGCCTTCCTTCATTATGGGTTCAGCTCCTTCCGTTCAGAACCGGGCTTCTTTATTAATTTTATCACCCTGGGCTCAATTAATAAAGAGTCGGTTCACAACAATGGTCTTTGTTCGGCCCGCTCACAACCTCCTGGATCATACCCGGCCCAAGTCACTTTCGGCATCCTCAGTGTAAACAAGAGATGGATTTTCTGTAAAAAGACGTTATAGCGTTCACAGTTGGGTGTAGACGGGACGGGACTCGGAGATGGGAGAAAATTGGTGTTTGGAGACGCATTTGAATTTGATTAGACACTTGATGGCATAAAATGGAGGTATTGCCAGCAATTGTGATGGCTGCTTATAAGGCAATGGTGTTTTTGTTTTAAATTTTGTAAGGAATGGAATGCTCACTAGGATGAATGTTGTTTGAGTTTATTTTTAATTCGAGTATTCCAACATTTTGTAAGAGCGGCTATTCCAAGAGAATGGACACTCCAACTTTATTTTGGCTCACCAAACAAAAGCAAAGGGAATGAAGTGTAAGAATAAGCATTTCATTCCACTATAAAACATAGCATTCATATGATCTGGGGGTTGCCAATATAACAATGGTGTTATGCGGGCACCACTCTTCTTTTTTTATTTTTTATTTTTATTTATTTATTTTTAATGTTGTATATTTATTGGGTCACTACATCCTTGATGTAGCCTAAGTTCACTACAGATCAAATGCATCTAAAATTTTCTAATTAATCAAACCATTAACATCAAATATTGTTATCCTGACAACATGCATGATTGATTAATACATGTTCAGTTTTTAGGAGGAGCAACAACATCTTTCCCGCTTACTTTCTAACATCTTCCCACTCATTTGGGCTAGATTTAGGAGACAAATTCTCCTTCGTGCTTTATCCTTGTTTAGGCTTAGTAGTGGGATTTAGAAGGGCAATATTGGGTAGAATGACGAAAAGAATTACAATCTACACGTTTTTGAGGTTTCGATGGGACCTCCACCGTATTGTCATAAGGATCATCATATAAGAGATCGAGCTTAATAGACTTTTGAATGTCCTTACAAGCATCAATCCGGATCCAATTGCTAGCATAAATGAGTCTAGCCTTTAAACGAGTAGGCTCATCAAGAAACAATGGGTTGACAATTAGTTAATAGGATTACTAATGCCAACTTCCCTACAAAGTTCCAATGGAACATGTAACGACCCTAAACTGATACCCTTTTAAAAAAAAAGATTTTAAAAAAAAAATTGGCATGATCTCCCCTAAAAAGGGGCCTACAACCACCTATTCAAATAAAAAAAAACGCAATGGCCCTTCCTGGCATTTCAAGACATATTCAACCTGTCCCAACACACAATACAAATAATATATTCCAGCATCCCATTCATCCATCCATTATACCTCAACATGGTTCATCTCATGGTGGAACATCCACATACCATTTAATCCAAATTATCATAATTACAGTCCCAAAATATATGGTTAATGTAACAACCCACTCCACCACATGGTATGATATTGTCCGCTTTGGGCCTGAGCCCGCACGGTTTTGCTCTTGGGCTTCACCCCAAAAGGCCTCATACCAATTGGAGGTGACACACTTACATATAAGTACTTCACCTTTCCTCTACCCAGGCGATGTGGGACTGTGCACCCGTAGCTCGCCAGTGTGGTAGCCTGACAGTGTCTCTCGCACCCGCCCACGGCACACCCGCCCACAGGGTCATCACAATCACCCCCCCTTTGGGGCCCAACGTCCTCGTTGGCCACACTTCCGGCTGGGTCAGGCTCTGATACCATTTGTAACAACCCACTCCACCACATGGTATGATATTGTCCGCTTTGGGCCTGAGCCCGCACGGTTTTGCTCTTGGGCTTCACCCCAAAAGGCCTCATACCAATTGGAGGTGACACACTTACATATAAGTACTTCACCTTTCCACTACCCAGGCGATGTGGGACTGTGCACCCGTAGCTCGCCAGTGTGGTAGCCTGACAGTGTCTCTCGCACCCGCCCACGGCACACCCGCCCACAGGGTCATCACAATCACCCCCCCTTTGGGGCCCAACGTCCTCGTTGGCCACACTTCCGGCTGGGTCAGGCTCTGATACCATTTGTAACAACCCACTCCACCACATGGTATGATATTGTCCGCTTTGGGCCTGAGCCCGCACGGTTTTGCTCTTGGGCTTCACCCCAAAAGGCCTCATACCAATTGGAGGTGACACACTTACATATAAGTACTTCACCTTTCCTCTACCCAGGCGATGTGGGACTGTGCACCCGTAGCTCGCCAGTGTGGTAGCCTGACAGTGTCTCTCGCACCCGCCCACGGCACACCCGCCCACAGGGTCATCACAATCACCCCCCCTTTGGGGCCCAACGTCCTCGTTGGCCACACTTCCGGCTGGGTCAGGCTCTGATACCATTTGTAACAACCCACTCTACCACATGGTATGATATTGTCCGCTTTGGGCCTGAGCCCGCACGGTTTTGCTCTTGGGCTTCACCCCAAAAGGCCTCATACCAATTGGAGGTGACACACTTACATATAAGTACTTCACCTTTCCACTACCCAGGCGATGTGGGACTGTGCACCCGTAGCTCGCCAGTGTGGTAGCCTGACAGTGTCTCTCGCACCCGCCCACGGCACACCCGCCCACAGGGTCATCACAGTTAAGATCTAAAGTACATGTCTTACAATGTTTGGACAACTTGCGCTAAAGTTACAGTCCATAATTATAATTATAATAACAAGGGTCCACAAACCTTTATACCGAATATAACAAACTAAGGTTTTACAAAAATATGGGACTTAATACAAAAATATAAAAAAAATCTTCTAAATTCAAATTAGGCATGTGGTGAAACGTCATCTACCACTTCTTTCCCGTTTCCTGAATTTTTTTTATTAAATAATAGGATGAGCAATTTGCTCAGTAGGCGGTGCCTAAGACACACCTCTTCTGCCCCCGTGAATTCAAACAAATAATAGAACAATAGGGGGCGGGGTCATGCCATGTCGGGAAAACACAACATAATGACCAATCTCAACATAAACAATATGATGCTATGGAATGCAATGCATGCCGATGTCACTCCCCATTTTCAACATTCAAAACCATCACTTTCAAACTGTTAATATAACCCGCCCTTTGGTGACCCCGCAGCGACACGAAAGAAGGATTGGTTAGTGTCCTTGACCCTTGGTAACCCCGCCGCGTCATTTTGGGCCCAGCTAGCTCAACCACGCTAGGGCAATCTCCCTAGTTCCCTATAGGCTATATTAACACTCTGGCCCTTTGGTACCTCCGTGGCAACCGGGTTTTCATAAAACACTTTAATCAAAACTTCTTTCCCAAAATTTCCCTTTTTCATTTCAAATCAATTTGTTCCCTTTTTCTTCCCAATGTTATGCATGAATGCTTCATGCCATGTAATTAATCATTCTACAACAAATTAAAAATTTAATCTCATATTACACCTTCCAAGAATTTCTAAGAATACATAACATGCTTTCATACAACAATTTTAGCAAGTTAACAACATTATCGGCTAGGGAAAATAACACATAGAACATGCTTTTCACACATAACATAAATTTAACACATATCCACATACTCAAATTTCAAGGTTTAGTCACCTTAAAACAAAATTAACTCAATCTAAGCATAATAAGCAACAATTAACAAGAATTATACTCACTAAGGCACAAGCATATGTGGATTAGAGACCCCTATCTTAAATTAATGTAAAACCCTCAAAATGGGTTCAAATTTTCAAAAATTCTAGGGAGGCCCAAATCTGAAATTGTTGGTATGGATTCGAAGGCCTCGCTGTGGGCTTCAATTTACCGCAAACGGCTTCCAAAAACTCCAAGAATTGAAGAAAAAATCAAGCCCTAAAGTTTGATGCAAAAGAAAAAGAAAATGAAGAGAAAATGGGGGAGAAGGAGGAACTAGCGGGAAAGAGAAGATTTGTGAGACCATGTGTGGTCTCTAGACCACTAAGTAAGTGGGTGGTGGGTCCCACCACCATTTTTGACTTTTCATTTTTTCTTTTGTTTTAATTCTACACCACATACCTATATATAAGTGCACCACCATATAAATACTACATAAGTCACATAAAATAAAATACATAAAATGTAAATGGACCCAACCAAAACCCCCCGTGCACAACAATACCGGTAACAGGTCCCACACGGGACCGTCTGACCCGAAAAATAGAAAAATGTGAAAATGACCAACCTTGTATTTTCTAGAGTTCTAAACTTAATGGAATGCCCCAAACGACTATCCGACACACTCGGCACACCCCACGATGTTCAGTACACAAAACGTGAAATGACGAAAATACCCTCGTATAAACAAAATTCTGAAAAAATGAAAAAATGGAGAAAATCGGAAACATTACAGAACATTATAAAAATTTGCTCAAATTAGGATGCTCAAAAAGTTACACTTAGACAATGGCATATCTAGAAACCATTTTTTTTAATGATACAAGCTCACTACAAAAATAACAAATTCTTGGGAAACTTATTTTTTTTGTTTTTAAAAGGGTAACTGTAACGACCCAAATCCTCATGAATCCGGATCATTAAACGGGTCCTTACCCGACTCAAAATCATTCGAGGGTAAAACGGTCTTTTTACATTAAATTTAAATAACAAGGTCCAAAAGGGCAAAATGGTAATTTGCCATAATTCGATGAATTGAGACTCAAAGTGTACAACAGTCATTTGCTTGCATTGCATAATAAACAAAATAAGGTTCGGGGCAATATAGTCCTTTCGGGGTTAAAATACAATTATTGCATTTTGTAGGTCATAAAATAATTACGTGTAACCTCACTTTGGTACCAAAGTGTAATTTAAGAACTTAAATAGTAATTACATATATGCCGTAAACCGATCGACGTATATGCATCATACGTCGACTAGTTTGGGTTATGAACAGTGGTAATACCCATTGCCAAGATACCGGTCGACGTATGGGAAGCCATACATCGACTGGTTTGGGACGTATGCCAAAAATGACCCACTGACAAGATACCGGTCGACGTTTGGGAAGCCATATGTCGACCGGTTCTGGGTAATTCTCACTTCCACTTTCCACTGTCTTGTGTAAACCCATATACACCAACTCTTGGTAATTAACCACCCACGCCACTACACTCACGTACAAAATTAAATACATTTCAACACCAAACACAATAAAAACAAATACGTTATTAACATAATTTGCCACACGTTACTTAAAATACACAAACTGATTTTGAGTGAATAAGGCTTAATTACATTACCCAATGACCATGCACATGATAATTACACGTATTTTACATGTTGCCAAAAATAATGCATTTAGTCATGCACTATACAAGATAAGTTCAAGTCCCACAAAATACATTCAAAATGCCTTCAAGTTTCCTTAGCTCTGTGGTGGATTATCATCCGCCAATTCCTTGCCATGACTTGAAAAATATTAATTATGTGGGGTGAGCAAATTGCTCAGTTGGTGACACTTAAGACACGCTTCTTGTATCCCCGTGAATCCAAACATAGAATAGATCAATGGGAATGAAGATCATATAATGACAGGGTAATACAACATTCCAACCAAACTCTAAAACAAACAATGCAATGCCATGGAATGCAAATCCATGCCAATGTCGCTCCCCATTCTCTTTTTCTCAAAACCATCTCTTTCAAATTGTTAATATAACCCGCCCTTTGGTGATCTCTCAGCGATACGAGAGGAAGATTGGCTAGTATCCCTAACCTTTGGTACCCCTGCGGCGTCATTATGAGGCCCAGCTAGCTCAACCACGTTAGGGCGACTCCCTAATCCCCTCTAGGCTATATTAACACTTCGGCCCTTTGGTACCCCCGCGGCGACTGGGTTTTCATAAAGCCATTTCATCAAATCACTTTACAAAAATTCCCCATGTTTGTTTCAAAACAAATTCTCCCATTTCATGCCCAATATAAGTGCATGAGTGCATCAATACTATGAGTATATTCATTATTTCACAACCAACTCAATTTAAGTAAGCAAGGCATAATTTCACAAGAATTTCTCAAGAAAAATCAACATGCTCTTATACAAAAATACATCTAGCATAACGAACATATTTAAATGATTACATAAGCAAGTTTTCCACATAAAACATTTAATACAAGTTCTCACATAACCACATACACATGTTTTAACTACGTTAAACTACAACTAGCATAAATAAGCATGTCTTGCAACAATTTAGAAGATGTAATTCACATAGGAGTAAGAAAATTGTGGATTAAGAGCCCCTACCTCTAGATTGAGCAAAACCCTTGAAATGGGTCTCTAAATTCGAAGTCCAAAGGAAGGCCAAAAACTGAAATTGATGGTACTCACACGTAGAGCTCGTCGTGCTCTCCGTTTTGCCTCAAACGACACCTTAATTCACCAAGTATTGAGAGAGAAATCTTGTTCCAAAGATTTGGTTGAAAAAGAAAAAAAAAATGCAAGATGAGAAAAGTGTGAGAGAGAGTTACGGGAGTGAGGAATGTGAGAGACAAAATGTGGTCTAGAGACCACATTGGATGGAAGTGGTGGATCCCACAATTTTTTTTTATTTTCTCTTTTTCTTTTGTTTTTTAATCCCACGCCACATACACATGACTAAACATCATCACATAAATGTCACACAACCAAATAAGTTAAATTATACAAAATGCAAATGGACCCAATCGCAATCCCGTACGCAGCATGTGAAAAGACAGAATCACCCTTGCATCAACAAAATTTCCGAAAATTAAAAATTGCTGAAAATCGGAAACGTTACAATAACCATTGTTAGTAATACAGAAAATTTAATATCTATGTACTGCTATCTCTATGGTTAAACTAATAACGAAGTCACTGAACTAGGATAATAAAATCCATTAAAAAAAAAAAAAAAAAAAGAAAAAAAAAAAAGAAAAAGAAAAAGACATATAATTATGCTTTTGATGAAAATAACTTTGATCAATGCATCATCCAAAATGAACAATCAGTCTACACAAAAAAGACTCCAAACCGCTTACCAAAGAAGAACGAGATCTCCAAACCCAAATCAATTACAGTCCTTCGTAACCCAAATACAGTAAACTTAAGAAGTTCAACAATGAAATATCTTGTAATATTTATTAGCTAGATCTTCTACATCATTGAATGGTGCCACAACTTTTCATTTACCTGTTGTCCATGTTTTCTGATTTATTGGCGTCATCTTAGTTTTATGAAAGCACGTCACACCCATCTTTGCCTCAATCACCTGGCATGATTATTGCGCAACTCATCAGTAGTCTGAATAAAAGATAAATCACATCATTCACAACAGAGAATACCTACCTTTTGCTTTTTTCTCACTACATCCTGTGGAATAAAAATGGTTAATCAAACTAAGCACCGAGTTTGTGAAGAGGATAAGACTTACTTTGATATAAAACAGCCATTGCATGAATCCTTACCCTGTCAAATTTCATAAGCAATATTAAAACAGATATTAGAAGTGTTTCAGATTGTAGTTTCCTAAAGAAAAGTACTTCAGAATTCAATACATCCAATTTTGATGAACCAAAAACGATGGAATTACAAGGTACCTAACTTGATTGTGGTTATGCTGACCTGATTACTGTGTATGTGCTCCCATCGTAGCGTCGGACTATGTATCAATGAGATTGAGATCGTCTGCCACCCATTTTGTCTCTAGGTAATAACAATTGATGTTTGGGATATGGCGAACCAGATGACGCAATGTTCCACCATTCTTGATCTGAGCCACAAATCTGTAGGGCATATCGTACAAGTGAAGCTCTTTGAGGCGAGTGAGGTTTCTAATACCCTCTGGAACCTGCTGCAGGTTATTGCACTGCCTTATAATCAGCTTTTGGAGATAAGGTAAGGTAGTCTCTTCCATTCTGACCTTTCTCAATGGTTCCAGTTGCTCGAGTTCCAAGATCTTAAGAGTCTGAAATTTTCTGGCTGTGAAATCTAACTGGTTTCCACTACAGGCATCGAGCAGCTGGAGCTCCAATAGATTAGGAAGATCTTGAAGGATATCAATGGGGTTATTGTAGTGTGTTAACTTGGACCACTTAAGACGTATCCTTACCAGGTCATGAAGTCTGGTAATCCAAATTGGTAACCTTTCTAACCGCCCTTTCAGATTCAGGCGTTGAAGAAATGGTGGAGGATTGGTAATTGCTTGTAGATCTACAACCTCATCCTTTTTTAATGATGTTACATTCAAGGAAAGGAGGTTTTGCAGCTTTTCAATTGACTGGCACAAATTTGACCCATCTTCTCTTGGAAGATCAATGATCCCTAACTTTCTTAGTTGTGTCAGATTTCTTAGCCAATGAATCACCTTGTGATGGCTATTTGCCTTTATGAATGATAGCTTCTGCAAGCTAGGTGTCTGGATCTCTGCTGATATCTCGAATCCTGTAACACAATCAGAAGTTGTATAATAAACAAGCAAATGCCGAAGTTTCTTAAGTTCGAGGACTTTTTTGGGCAGCTTTACCACTCTAGTTTGCCTAAGATCCAAGGTCTCTAGGTACCTAAGATTCCCCAGAGACTCGGGAATGATTTTGATATTGTTATTCCTCAAACACAGATACTTCAAGAGCAGTAAACCCACAATTTCCTTAGGAAAGATCTCCAATGATGCACCTTCCAGATGCAGAACTCTCAATAATTTCAAGTCTCGAATTGAGCTGTAGGGTACACCGAACACAAAAAGGGTGCGAACACTCTTAAAGTTCCCATCCAACTTGTTGAATCCATGGCTTTGCATAGATAATCGACGGGGTTTGTCACCTATGTTTCTCTGTGATTCTGAAAAAACATTGCAAAAATTCTCCTCTCTTGACTTTGAGAGAATAATCTTATGCATGAGATTATGTACCCGACAAGTTTTTGGCCTCCCATCAAAATCCAATTCACTTTGTATCAGATTCCTGTCGGTGAGTTCCTTTAGATACTCCTCTCCAATGTCTTCAACTTCTTTGCCTGTTTGTTCTCTTATAAAACCCTCTGCTATCCACAGCCGAATCAATACTCTGCACCTAACTGGATAATCATTCTCGGGGAAAATGGTCAAGTATAGAAAACAATACTTGAGATGGTATGGCAAGTCACTGTAACTTAGAGATAGTATTCTCATGGTATCTGAAAGGCTGCCATTTCTGCTCAACTCTGATCCAAGGCTTCCAAGCAATTTTTGCCATGCAGATGCAGAGTTCTCTCTATACAGAATTTTACCGATTTCAATGATTGCAAGTGGCAATCCTTCGCATTTTGTTAAGATTCTTTGGGACCAGCCTTCCAACCGTGAAGGACATATGCCATCTGGGAAAGCGTTCTTGTGGAAGAGTTGTTTAGCCTTTTCCGTAGGAAGAGACTGGATGTTATAGACATCAGTAGAGTTATCTCTACATGAAAAAGCTATATCGCCTCTTCGTGTAGTGATAATTATTCTACTGTGATTACCCTCAGGTAGTGCCTTTCTAATGGATTCCCAAACATCTTTTTTCCACAAATCATCAAGAACTAAAACATACCTTTTGTTTTGCAGATGATCCCTTAGTTTATTCATCAGCTCGACCAAGTTGAAGGAAGAGGAACTCTGGGAAGTTGGCTCGACCGGCAGATTGCAGAATTTATTGAACATCATCGTTAAGAGATCCATTTTATTTATTGACCTTCCAACAGTGATCCAAGCATGGCATTCAAATCCTTCATTCTTCACCATCTCATACGCTTGCTTAACAATAGTTGTTTTACCCAATCCTCCCATCCCGACTACAAACACCACCTTGAGACTTTGCCTCCCTTTTAGTGCCCAAGTAATCAGTTTCTTCTTTGGTATTTCAATCCCCACAATATCAGTGTCTTCAGCGAACAGAGGATCTATTCTTGGAGGAAGGCATGTGTCGTTTCCAGTCGTCAAACTTGAGGCTTGGGACGGACTGATGCTATTATGATATCTCTCCTTTGCTTCTTTGATGCTTTTGAGTTTCATGTTAATACCTTCAATTAGTTCATCGATGTGGTGGCGTGCTCTCCATTTGGTGACGAACTCAAAGCCGTGGCTAATAGACTGTTGAACCATGTGAAACGTAAAAATGTCGAGAAGATCCTCGATGTCATAAGTTCCATCTCGAAGTTTTTGAAGCCAGTCAGTGACTTGGCTATTGTGCTCTCTTTCGGTATCGGCATCCTTCAGAAGTGCACTAATGCTTTCGAATTCACCTCTCAAGATGTCGACCTCCGTGCTTATCTTTCCCGGCAACTTCCATTCTGCCTCCAGCCAAATTTGAAGCTTATCAAGTAGAAAGCAGACAGCATCCTGTGCCATATCTCTCACTTGTAAGTGTTATTTTCTACTTCTGAATTTTTTAGAGGATACAAGAAGACTGCCCTCTATATGGTTTTTTTTATGAATGGCAATGTTTCAATAAATTTATTTGCAGGACTTTTGCTAGTACACGTTGACTGACTGATCAGTTGGGTGAAACTTAAACAATGAATACATATAAGTACTTGTATGTCTTAGCATGAAGTATAATTCTTTAATTTACTATCCAGTAAATTCAACAGATCCAAGTAACAATAACAATTTTATGCATCAACTTGAAGAGTATACATTGTGATGCCTTTAATTAGAGATGCCCAACAAAAGATTTAACCAAAAGGGGTTGTTATTCTAATTTCTATGGCTTCAAATGATTACTTTTAGGTCGAACACTATAATTATCATCAAGATATTAATATATTTTTAAAGCATTATTAGATAGATAAGTCTGATACTACTGAGTAAGACCAACACACACTTTTCTTTTGGAGTGTATAATAGAATTGGGTGCGCAATAAAGAAAACAGGTGGGCTCATTATATATTGGAAATTTCTTTTCAATTGAGGCCAATGAGCATTGATGTGGACTTCGCATAAATATTTTGTGTATGTGTTTGTGTGTGTGTGTGTGTGTGGCTATTTTGAAAGTTCACAACATTTTCTGTCAAAAGCTACAAGGAAAAGGAAAAGGAAAAGGAGCCAATCAGTTTCTTTTTGCAAAAGTTAGTTCTATCTTCTATGCAATGCAACTAGCAAGCACAAGGAATCTTATTTTTTTAAATAATTAAGTAAATGAAAATCATATGCATCAACTTTGTGGGTGTCACTCATTAGACGCTGATTGGCTTGTTGATAAGTCAATACAACCCTAGCCAAATTCTCCATGGCAAGTTGAAAAGTGAAAAGCCTCAAAAGAACAAATCTCGAGCACTCTAAGCCCTGGCATCGCTCCAGACCCTCAAGTCTCGAAAGATCAAGTCTCGAGCACTCTAAGCCCTGGCATCGCTCCAGACCCTCAAGCCTCGAAAGATCTAATCTCGAGCACCCTAAGCCCTGGCATTGCTTGTAATACCCTGTATTTTTAAAGAGTTTATTTAAATTAATTCTGTATATTTAATGAGTAGATTTATTTACCTATTAAATTGTGTATGTTAAATTATTAAATTAATTTATTTATTTGTGCACGTAATATTGATTTTTATGTTCTATATATTATATAATGTTAGTTTAGAAATTTTATTGGTTATGTTTTATATTAATTAATATTAGTTAATTAAAGTATTACATTTGTATTAGTTAATTAAAGTATTTCATTTGTATTATAGTATAATAATAATAATAATAATAATAATAATATGTCATGATGTAAATTAGATATTATGGTGGAATTTTATGCCAATTATTTGACTTAGATTTAATTGCCTTGAATTAAATTAGGTGGGAGGTTTTGATAGTTAATGTAAATTTAGATATTTGTAATATTTATATTATATAAGTTAGTATATATTAGTTAGCTACTTTGAAGCAAGTTACGTAAGTAGAAGAGAAAGAAAAAAATAAAAGTGAGCCATTTTAGAAAAGTAAAAGGAAAAGAGAGAAAAAGAAGCTTGGACCGGTATAGGTGATTTTACTCGACTGCACGCAACCGGCGGATTTGTTTCAAATCCATAAGGCAAGTTATTATCTATTTTTCTCCTTTGAATCCATAAATTAATTATTTAATTTATTTAGGTTATTTTAGAGTATGGAAAGCATGCTAGGATTTTAATAAATTATAATTTTAGTTTATTAAATTAGTGAAATATTAATTATTTAGGGTGTTAGATAATTTATTATTGGCCTATGTAATTAATTAAAGCTTAGGAATAATTATTTAAAGCTTTAGGAATTTTTATAGAATTTTTCGGGATTTTCTGTAAATTCCGGCGAGCCTCCAGCGAGGTTTCCGGCCACCGGCAGTGAGGAAGGTGACCGGAGTAATTCGGTGTGATGCGGTGTACATTACTTTCCATGCGCGTGTATCAGTAGCCGTAGGATTACTTTAGGATAGTCAGATTAATCAAGTGCAGCGCGTCCACGGAATTAGGATGCAACCACCGAATCAGAAAGCGCCACGTCATCAGGTACCGTTAATGCGCGCGTGGCAGCGCGTGCGCGCGCGTGGTTGATGCCAGATGCTCGTGGCAGCGCGTGCGCGCACGTGGCTGATGCCAGATGCACGTGAGAGCGCGTGTAAGCGCGTACGCGTGTGAGGAAGGTGGTGGCGCTTGTGGGAAGCTTTGGGAGGCGCGTGAGGGCACATGTGGGACCCCTACAGCTACTGGAAAAGTCCAGAATACCCCTAGGGATTGTTTTGTAATTTCTAGAACCTTCAACTTGCATTTTTGGGCTTAGGGTTGGTAGTTACGGGTTTAACGGGACATTAAATTATTATTTTTATTACCCGTTAATTATTATTATGTCCGATTAATATTTCCAAACATTAATTATATGGTTTACAGTACAGACCGCTATAAACAGATGTAATTAATGTAATAACATATTTGAATATTAATTGTGTTGTTATTTAATATTAAATGAAATAATTACATAATTTGATTCATACAAATTGTTCATTATACGTTATAGGATTATGCATGTTGTTAATGATATATAAACCATTACTATTATGCTGTGTGCATTTCAGGTAATAAATGGGCTGCTAAATAAATTATGTCGCATTTATATTATATGGATGTGTTGCCATATAGAACCATGTGAGCTGACTAATAAGTTGAGACTCATTTATACCTTATGCATTCGTTGCCATAGACAGATGTGTGGCTGTCGGGGTATGTGGTTTAATATTATTGGCATGTGTTACCTAAGTGATATGCTCAATATATTCATTAGTACTTTGAGATGTGTTACCACTGTGTAGGACTTATAGTCTGTGTTGTCAGTACCATGCACCATGTATTAATAGCTGATTTCCTAGGTAGGGAAAGGAAACACTTAACCACCTCGTGTGAGTCTAAGTGATCACCGTCTGTTCTGGTTGAAGTCATATTATACATTGTGTAGTTTCATTAGGGTGTATACAGATATAGTTTACTTCCGAATAATAATGATTAATTTATTTGATTCTCTGATTTGGGTCATAGTAGAGAGGACTTGCTCGTGGGGTTGACCCACCATTGTTGTTATTTCAGGACACGGTCAGTACCCGTTTCAAGGTTGAGGCTTAGCAGTGTGGGACCACCATCCGAACTCATCTACTCTTATGGTCTTATCCAGGGTAGAAGTTTTATGTATTATTTTAATTTCAGTTTTATTTACTTCCGACGTTGAACTTTCAGGTTTATATTTAGGGATCTTTGACATAGGATTTCCAAGTTGTTTAAAGGAGTATTGTATTTAATAAAGCATGGATGGATGTTTTTTTTTCTTCGAGTTTTCCTTTCCTGTCTAAGTTCTTTTATTATTATCATTTTGTATTCCATGCTTGTATATTACCAATTGTTTTTGATATCCCTCATTTTTTGTGTATAAGCCTGATTAACTTATGCGTGGAAAATGTGGGGGTATTACATTGCTCTAAGCCCATCAAGCCTCGAAAGATCTAATCTCGAGCACCCTAAGCCCTGGCATTGCTCCAAGCCCATCAAGCATCGAAAGATCAAATCTCGAGCACTCTAAGCCCTGGCATCGCTCTAGGCCCAATAAGCCTCGAGAAGCTGATCCTCGAGCATCCCAAGCCCTGGCACCACACCAAGCCCATGAAGCCTCGAGAGACCGACTCTCGAATATCCCGAATCCTGGTGTTACGCCAGACGATGCTGTTTTGAAAGATTGGAGCTCCTTAGCACGAGATGAAGGTAGAATCTTCGTGTTATAGGAATCCATGTTTGGGAAACTTAGGAGGATCTTGGATTGGTGGATGAGAAGTTAAGAGGTGCCTTCGCTCTCGGCAAAGCCCAATTAACAAGAAGATAGGATTATACACGTCGTGACAGCAAATCTTAAAATCACAATTATTGTTATGTCAGGCTTGACCAACCGACGGCCAAGCAACATTTAATGCCCCTGATTGGGGGAGAAATGACATGGCAACATTGGACAAGGCTTGAGGAAATGATTAGACCCTTCAGACCCCTAAATCTTCAGGATTACTCAGGTAATCCGGATTGGGGGTGATGCATGCAAGGGACCATGCATAGAAGGAACCATTGGATAATAACCAATGGAAACCAGATCTATAAATGACACTGTCCTATGAAGAAAGAACGAACCCTCGAAAGGAAGAAAAGCTATCATGAAATATTGTATACTCGCCCTACCACCATCTTGATCTTGATAGTTGGTATTCTTCTCCTCCACCTGCACTGAGCATCTTCTTTGTTTTCCTTCATATTTGTATTCTTGATATCTCTATTTTATTGCTGTTTTAAAACCTAGTAAAAAAGAACCCCTACATTTTGGCGACTTCACTGGGGATATCAGTACAAGCAGATGGAATCGCAGGATATGCTAACTCACCATTCAGAGTCCTCTGTTGGAGTAGGTGGTGACTATCCTTTTCAATCCCAGGTACCGTCATGTGCTTCCAATGTTCGCGCACCACATATCACAATGCCGAAAAGCTCAGCAGTCCCTTCCGTTCATGAGGAGTTATTGCAGTCTAATCGTGATCTTAACGATCGCCTTGATAGGTTGGAAGCCTTGATCATGCAAAGTGCATGAGCCATAACTGTTTCTCCCACTAGGGTGGCTCTTCCTGAGCATGATCAGCTAGGCAGTTCATCTACTCACGTGCTACTACTGTGGTATCCGCCGACCCAAGCCCAAGCAGCCCCAAAGCCCACCCCAATTCAAGCGATTCCACCGGCAAACCCTTCCCCGGAATATGTCACTGAATCCATGCTACGTGATTTTTTCATGAAGTATGCCCCATCGGCTGCACGCACGTTAGTATTGCGTACGGAGCCTCCGTACTCAAAAAGCCTGGCTCAGACGCCATACCCTCAGGGGTACATCATCCCAAAATTTCCTAAGTACGACGGCGTCAAAGGGGATGCCGATGAGCACTTGCAGAGATTCGTGGAATCGCTAGGCCAGCATAGCCATGATGAGATCTTGCACCTTCGAGAATTCTCCAAGTCTCTCACCGGGCTCGCGT